AGTTGGTCCAACCAGTCCACCGGACCAACAGGCCAGTTGGTCCAACCGGTCCATGGGACCAACAGGCGAGTTGGTCCAATCGGTCCACTGGACCAACAGGCCAGTTGGTCCAACCGGTCCACTCGACTAACAGGCCAGTTGGTCCAACTGGTCCATTGGACCTACAGGCCAGTTGGTCCAACCGGTCCATTGGACAAACAGGCCAGTTGGTCCAACAGGTCCATTGGACAAACAGGCCAGTTGGTCCAACCGGTAAATTGGACCAACCGGTTAATTGGTCCAACCGGTCCACTGGACCAACAAGCCAGTTGGTCCAACTTGTCCACTGGACGAATAGGCCAGTTGGTCCAACAGGTTCATTGGACCTACAGGCCAGTTGGTCCAACAGGTCCACTGGACCAACAGGCCAGTTGATCCAACCTGTCCATAACACCAACAGGCGAGTCGGTCCAACCTGTCTACTGGACCAATAGGCCAGTTGGTCTAACCGGTCTATTGGACCAACAGGCGAGTTGGTCTAACCTGTCCACTGGACCAACAAGCCAGTTGGTCCAAACAGACCACTGGACCAACAGGCCAGTTGGTCCAACCGGTCCACTAGACTAAAAGGCTAGTTGGTCCAACCGGTCCATGGGACCAGGCGAGTTGGTCCAATCGGTCCATTGGACCAACGGGCGAGTTGGTCTAACCGGTCCACTTGACTAACAGACTAGTTGGTCAAATTGGTCCATTGGACCTACAAGCCAGTTGGTCCAACCGGTCCATTGGACCAACAGGCCAGTTGGTCCAACAGGTCCATTGGACAAACAGGCCACTTGGTCCAACCGGTAAATTGGACCAACCGGTTAATTGGTCCAACAGGTCCACTGGACCAACAAGCCTGTTGGTCCAACTGGTCCACTGGACCAATAGGCCAGTTGGTCCAACAGGTCTGCTGGACCAGCAGGCGAGTTGGTCCAACCGGTCCACTGGACCAATAGGCCAGTTGATCCAACCTGTCCATAGAACCAACAGACGAGTCGGTCCAACCTGTCCACTGGACCAATAGGCTAGTTGGTCCAACCGGTCCATTGGACCAACAGGCGAGTTGGTCCAACCTGTACACTGGACCAACAAGCCAGTTGGTCCAAACAGACCACTGGACCAAAAGGCTAGTTGGTCCAACCGGTCCACTGGACCAACAGGCAAGTTGGTCCAACCGGTCCATGGGACCAACAGGCGAGTTGGTCCAATCGGTCCACTGGACCAACAGGCCAGTTGGTCCAACCGGTCCACTCGACTAACAGGCTAGTTGGTCCAACTGGTCCATTGGACCTACAGGCCAGTTGGTCCAACAGGTCCGCTGGACAAACAGGCCAGTTGGTCCAACCGGTAAATTGGACCAACCAGTTAATTGGTCCAACCGGTCCACTGGACCAACAAGCCAGTTGGTCCAACTGGTCCACTGGACCAATAGGCCAGTTGGTCCAACAGGTTCATTGGACCTACAGGCCAGTTGGTCCAACAGGTCCACTGGACCAACAGGCCAGTTGGTCCAACTGGTCCACTGGACCAATAGGCCAGTTGATCCAACCTGTCCATAACACCAACAGGCGAGTCGGTCCAACCTGTCCACTGGACCAATAGGCCAGTTGGTCCAACCGGTCCATTGGACCAACAGGCGAGTTGGTCTAACCTGTCCACTGGACCAACAAGCCAGTTGGTCCAACCGGTCCACTAGACTAACAGGCTAGTTGGTCCAACCGGTCCATGGGACCAGGCGAGTTGGTCCAATCGGTCCATTGGACCAACGGGCGAGTTGGTCTAACCGGTCCACTTGACTAACAGACTAGTTGGTCAAATTGGTCCATTGGACCTACAGGCCAGTTGGTCCAACCAGTCCATTGGACCAACAGGCAAGTTGGTCCAACAGGTCCATTGGACAAACAGGCCAGTTGGTCCAACCGGTAAATTGGACCAACCGGTTAATTGGTCCAACAGGTCCACTGGGCCAACAAGCCAGTTGGTCCAACTGGTCCACTGGACCAATAGGCCACTTGGTCCAACAGGTCCACTGGACCAACAGGCGAGTTGGTCCAACCGGTCCACTGGACCAATAGGCCAGTTGATCCAACATGTCCATAGGACCAACAGGCGAGTCGGTCCAACCTGTCCACTGGACCAATAGTCTAGTTGGTCCAACAGGCGAGTTGGTCCAACCTGTACACTGGACCAACAAGCCAGTTGGTCCAAACAGACCACTGGACCAACAGGCCAGTTGGTTTAATCGGTCCACTGGACCAACAGGCCAGTTGGTCCAACCGGTCCACTCGACTAACAGGCTAGTTGGTCCAACTGGTCCATTGGACCTACAGGCCAGTTGGTCCAACAGGTCCGCTGGACAAACAGGCCAGTTGGTCCAACCGGTAAATTGGACCAACCGGTTAATTGGTCCAACCGGTCCACTGGACGAACAAGCCAGTTGGTCCAACTGGTCCACTGGACCAATAGGCCAGTTGGTCCAACAGGTTCATTGGACCTACAGGCCAGTTGGTCCAACAGGTCCATTTGACCAACAGGCCAGTTGGTCCAACCGGTCCACTGGACCAATAGGCCAGTTGATCCAACCTGTCCATCACACCAACAGGCGAGTCGGTCCAACCTGTCCACTGGACCAATAGGCCAGTTGGTCCAACCGGTCCATTGGACCAACAGGCGAGTTGGTCTAACCTGTCCACTGGACCAACAAGCCAGTTGGTCCAAACAGACCACTAGACCAACAGGCCAGTTGGTCCAACCGGTCCACTCAACTAACAGGCTAGTTGGTCCAACCGGTCCATGGGACCAGGCGAGTTGATCCAATCTGTCCATTGGACCAACGGGCGAGTTGGTCTAGCCGGTCCACTTGACTAACAGACTAGTTGTTCAAATTGGTCCATTGGACCTACAGGCCAGTTGGTCCAACCGGTCCATTGGACCAACAGGCCAGTTGGGCCAACCTGTCTATTGGAGGAACAGGCGAGTTGGTCCAACCGGTCCACTAGACCAACAGGCGAGTTGGTCCAACCAGTCCACTGGACCAACAGGACGGTTGGTCCAACTGGTCCATTGGACCAACAGGCGAGTTCGTCCAACTGGTCCACTGGACCAATTGGCCAGTTGATCCAACCTGTCCATAGGACCAACAGGCGAGTCGGTCCAACCTGTCCACCGGACCAATAGGCCAGTTGGTCCAACCGGTCCATTGGACCAACAAGCGAGTTGGTCCAACCTGTCCACTGGACCAGCGGGCAATTTGGTCCAACCGGTCCGTTGGACCAACAGGCCAGTTGGTCACACTGGTCCATTGGACCAAAAGGTCAGTTGGTCCAACGGGTCTATTGGACAAACAGGTCAGTTGGTCCAACTGGTCTATTGGACCAACATGCGAGTTGGTCCAACTGGTCCACTGCACCAACAGGCCAGTTGGTCCAACCGGTCCACTGGACCAACAGGCTAGTTGGTCCAACCGGTCCATAGGACCAACAGGCGAGTTGTCCAACTGGTCCATTGGACCAACAGGCTAGTTTTTTCAACCGGTCCACTGGACCAACAGGCAGGTTGGTCCAACTGGTCCATTGGACCAACAAGCTAGTTGGTCCAACAGGTCCATTGGACAAAGAGGACAGTTTGTCCAACCGGTAAATTGGACCAACCGGTTAATTGGTCCAACCGGTCCACTAGACCAACAAGCCAGTTGGTCCAACTTGTCCACTGCACCAATAGGCCAGTTGGTCCAACAGGTCCACTGGACTAACAGGCCAGTTGGTCCAACCGGTCCACTGGACCAATAGGCCAGTTGATCCAACCTGTCCATAGGACCAACAGGCGAGTCGGTCCAACCTGTCCACTGGACCAATAGGCCAGTTGGTCCAACCGGTCCATTGGACCAACAAGCGAGTTGGTCCAACCTGTCCACTGGACCAACAAGCCAGTTGGTCCAAACAGACCACTGGACCAACAGGCCAGTTGGTCCAACCGGTCCACTGGACCAACAGGTTAGTTGGTCCAACCGGTCCATGGGACCAAAAGGCGAGTTTGTCCAATCTGTCCATTGGACCAACGGGCGAGTTGGTCTAACCGGTCCACTTGACTAATAGGCTAGTTGGTCCAACTGGTCCATTGGACCAACAGGCTAGTTGGTCGAACCGGTCCATTGGACCAAAAGGCCAGTTGGGCCAACCGGTCTATTGGACCAACAGGCGAGTTGGTCCAACCGGTCCACTGGACCAACAGGCGAGTTGGTCCAACCAGTCCACTGGACCAACAGGCCGGTTGGTCCAACTGGTCCATTGGACCAACAGGCCAGTTGGTCCAACTGGTCCACTAGACCAATAGGCCAGTTGATCCAACCTGTCCATAGGACCAACAGGCGAGTCGGTCCTGTTAGAATACTCCTTTATTCATATCATACATAGACTAGAATGACTTGTACATTCTCTATTATCATACACCCCTTTGGGTGTACATTGGTTGGAGTGCTAATCCACACTTTAATGGAGCCGCCAACCAAAGCATCTTGCCAAGCATCTTGCCAAGCATCTTGCCAAAGCATCTTGCCAAAGCATCTTGCCAAGCATCTTGCCAAGCATCTTGCCAAGCATCTTGCCAAAGCATCTTGCCAAAGCATCTTGCCAAGCATCTTGCCAAGCATCTTGCCAAGGATCTTGCCAAGCACCTTGCTAAAGCATCTTGCCTAGGAACATCCCTATCATCTCCTATCCTATGTAAGCTTGCATGTTTTCTCTAATACTCAATCGTTCTAATTCTCACATGGAAATCAGAGCTTCATAGGCTAACGCCTTCTCCGATCCTCAACACGCCTACTATTCCCTCGGTTACCCGTCACTCATCACACGCGGCCCTCCCGTAACGCTTACTGCTCCCGTCACTAACGGCCTTTGGCGCCCTCTGTCCACGTTACCCACGGCCCTAAACGCCCTCTCCTCAGCGCCCGCGGCTCCTGGAGTCCCCAATCCGCGATGCCCTCGGCCCTTGGCACGCTGCCCACGGCGCCCCGTCCCTTGGCGCCCCCTGCTCGCGACTCCCACGGCGCCCCCGTCCCTTGGCGCCCCCTGCTCGCGACGCCCACGGCGCCCCGTCCCTTGGCGCCCCCAGCTCGCGACACTCACGGCGCCCCGTCCCTTGGCGCCCCCCTGCTCGCGACGCCCACGGCACCCCGTCCCTTGGCGCCCCCTGCTCGTGACGCCCACGGCGCCCCGTCCCTTGGCGCCCCCTATCCGCGACACCCACGGCCCTTGGCGCCCCCCTACTCGCGACGCCCACGGCCCCCCGCGCTCGCCCTCGCGGCCCCCCGTCTCCTCCCGTTCGCTCCTTGCGACGCCCTCGACAGACGCCGCCCATCGCGCACGCCCCCGACATCCGCGACCCGCTGCCCCTGCCAACCAGCGACGCGGGTCGCGACCCCTGCGACCGACGCCCCTCGTCGCCCTCGACCCCCTAGACCCGCGACCCTCGACGTGCGTGCCACCCTCGATGCACCACGGGCCCCCGTCGCCTCCTGCTCGCGACATCCGCGACCACGTTAGCTGCCGCCCCCCCCTCCCCTCCTCCTACCCACGGCGCTCGCGGACTCGACGCCCGCGACCTGCTGCCTGCAACGCCCGCGACCAAGCGCCACCTCCTCCTCCGACCAGCGCCACCTCCCTTCTGCGACCAGCGCCACCTCCGCCCTGACCCGCTCCTCCCTCTGACCCGCGCCTCTGTCCTACCCGTGGCGCTCGCGACCCGCTGCCCACTGCTTCCGCGATCTCTCTTGTAAGCCCTCCCCCCCCCCCCCCCCCCCTCCTCCCCACCCTCCTCCTGTGGTTGCTCTATCTACCTCTTTCCTCCACCCTCACCATCAACTCCATCACCCTCACTCCCCATTCTCCCTCCCTCTGTCGCTAGTTTCCCCTTCACACCATCCCGTCGTATCCCCACCCCTCCCTCCTCCTGTGGCTGATCCCTCCTCCCCCCCTTATTCGCACCTTCGTTTTCATTTTCCCCATCCTCCCTCCTCCTGTGGCTGATCCCTCCCTCCTCATTCTCACCTTCTCTCCTCATCTTTCATTTTCCCCATCCCCCCTCCTCCTGTGGCTGCTTTCTCCCCCCCCTGCATCATGGCTACCGACACCATGCCAACTGACATAAGTTCCATTGATCGTCTCGAACTCATTAACGATACCACCCCGGTGAACTGGACTTCGTTTTCAGAAAGTATGCACGTTCTTCTTGGCTCCACCACAATCCATAACTATAACCTCCTTGATCTCGCTCTCGACACTCCATTCGGAGTTGCCCCCTCTCCTCCCGCAGCCCCCCCTCCACCCCCTCCTGGTGAACCGCCCCATCCTCCAGGCCCACCGCCTGTTGCCCCGGAGCTACCCGTTCACAACGATGACCCCGAACGTTCGCATCCTCCGCGATTACACTCGGGATCATGCTGCTTACGTTCTTGACCAAGCCACCTGGAATGCGGCATTCGCTGCCCATGAAGCCGCTCGATTCGCCGATATCGACTACCAGGCCCTGCGCGCCAAGCACGTGGAGGATGACCGCACCTACCGCCTCAACTCCTCTGCATGGCGCATTGCTGATCTCAAGGCGCTCAACATCATCCTCGCCTCTATCCCTACCTCTCTCAAACGTGAGATCCGTCCCACCACCTCCGCAACACTTTGGAAGGATCTCACCACTCGCTTTGACCGACAGGACCTCAACTCCCTTCTCTAATGGTCCGTGTATTGATAGTGCATGAAAGTACACACATGCAAGGTATAAAGCAAGCAAATGAAAACACAGTGCAACATCACCTACTGCCCCACTCTAGAGCTCTAGGAGTGGTTCCACCACTGCAAAACAGTCCCCCAGGTGCAGCTCATGCCCAATGCCCCCCACCAGAGGGTTCTCTGCCGCCGCCGCCTCGCCCAACTTCATTAGAAGCCCCACGGATTGGGCCCGTTGCAGGGCCACTGACCAACGCTGCCGGAACTGGTGCAAGAACTTGGCGGCATAGAAGGATTTGGAGTCGGCGTTGAAGTGCCGCCGAGCCGCTGAGTCTGCAAGGAGCTTGAGGAAGACGGGTACCTCCGCGCATGGGCAGCCGTAAGTGTCTACCGCCAGGGGGAAGAAGCCAACCATCTCTGGGCGGTTGGCATAGTGCTTAGTCTTCTTGTCGGCCTGCTCACGCGCCGCCCACCCCCTGCCTTTTTGAGCCTCTGGGTCCCTGGTGCTTATAGGATCAGTGACAGTGACGTCACAAATGTAAACCGCTCCGCTGCTTCTGTCCGTCATTGTGAAATCCGCCGTTTTTTCCTCGATGGGGCAGTAGGCGGTCGACTCCCGATGGACTATAAAGCCCGCATCCTGTGCCATGCTAACGCAAGCATCCCGCAGCTCGTTGTGAGTGTTTGTGCGGTGCTTGCCTGTGCCGCAGCGAAGCAGGTGGTTTGGGAGCCGGGGGTCAGTGATGGTCGTGTGCTCCGAGCAGTCGCAGTTCTTGGGAGTTGAGAACGGCAGGGCAAGGCGGAAGCGCACCGCATTGGCGAAGTGCACCGGCCCTATCCGCCTCGTGGGAGCTACTGGGACCGCCGTGATCCAATCGCCGGTGCCGTAGCCAGTCAGGGAATACATCCGCTGCGTGTGTCCGGCGAGCGGGTTCAGCCTCATGCGCCTTGTCGCTCGCACCTGCACCGCGTACCTACTCCCGTGCACCTTCAATCCGAGCACGTGCTGGAGCCGAATGTCAGTGCGTTCCAGCCACTCCTTTTCCAATATCTCCCGAGCGTCTGTTGGTAGTGCCTCCTCACACCCCGTCAGCCAAGCGTGCAGTGGTGTGCTGCTGTCCCGTGTTAGAATGTAGAACTGAACGAGAATGAATGAACTAGGCAGCAAGGTGATACAAGTAGGAAACCCTAGCAATGTTGTACCCCCTAAGGCTAAACCCACTATAGCCTACACAATATAAACATGTATAATGTTTGACACACCCCCATAGGCGAAGTGGGGGACAACCAGAAGGTCACAAGACCAGTCAAAGCAAAGCAAAGCAAAGCAAGCTCAGGGTGGATCTCAAGGAAACCACACAAATTCCGAGCACAAGCAAGTGGTCACAAGACCAGTTCACATGCAGTTTGATAAAAACAAGAGGTACAGTGATCACAACCTAGCAAGTGTAAGCATGCAGGTATATATATAGAGATCATAGTACAAGCAGAGTCAAGAAGTAAGCAAGTGAGGCACAGTGGGCACAAGGCCGAGAACAGTACAGAAACGCTGATGATCACAAGGCTGAAGCGCCTTGGTGAACACATCAGCAGTGTTGGCCCGAGTGGCCACGTAAGCAAGACGAAGCTGACCACGCTGCTGCAACTCTCGAGCAAGGAAGTAGCGCAGAGCGATGTGCTTCGTTCTGTGCTCCAGTCTGTGCTCCTGAGACAAGGCAATGGCGGCCTTGTTGTCGACGTACAGCACTGGAGGAGAACGAGGCCGCTCTCCCAGGTCGGTCAGCAGGTAGGTGAGCCAGCGTAACTCCTGTGCAACCATGGCTGTGGCGTAGATCTCAGCCTCACAACTGGAGCTGAGAACCGAAGACGAGCGTGTAGAACGCCAAGAAACTGAACCAGAGCCAAGGCTGAAGGTGTAACCCTGAGACGACCGCTGTGTAGCATGGTCGTCAACCCAAGAAGCGTCTGAGTGCCCAGTGAGGACAACGTCGCTCCGTCCTCCAAGCACAAGCCCCATGCCCGACGTACTGCACAAGTAGCGCAACACCCTCTTAGCGGCATCCATGTGCTCCTTCCGGTGACGGCCAGGAGCGACATAGCGTGCTAGGATGCTAAGAGGGTATGCAAGGTCAGGTCGAGTGCAGGTCATGAGGTACATGAGGCAGCCCACAAGCTCTGGATACGGGCCACTCGGCTCTACGGACTCATCCGAAGGCAGAGCTGAGAGCGAGTGACCGGTAGGCAGAGGAGTGGACTGAGGCGAGGAGTACGTGAAGCGGAAGCGCTGAAGGACCTGCTGCACCATGTGTGACTGAGTCAAGGTGATGGTGCGCTGTGCTCTGTCCCGGGTGATCCGCAAGCCAAGATAGCTTGTCAGCTCACCCAGGTCTGTGCACGTGTGTCTCTTCTGCAGCTCCGACTTCACGTGGGCGAGTGCCTTAGTGTCAGCAGTAGCAAAGACCAAGTCGTCTACGTACACGAGAACGTAGAACGGCGGCAGAGTGGTGTCGGTGCGTAGAAACAGCGACGGGTCAGTAGTAGAAGGAGCGAACCCAAGAGCCGCAAGTGTAGTCCTCAGTGTGTCGTGCCACTCACGGGGTGCCTGACGGAGACCGTAGACTGGCCGCCGGAGGCTCCACTGGGTACCAGCAGGGAACGACCCAGTGAAGCCAGGTGGGCGGCGCAGCCAGACCTCCTCGTGCAGGCTGCCCTGTAGGAAAGCAGTGCTGAAGTCAAGAGAATGGAGCTCGTAGTCACGCTGAGCGGCGACGTGCAGCAGAACCCGAAGAGTGGTCATCTTCGGGGTCGGGGAGAAGGTCTGGAAGAAGTCAACTCCCTCTCGCTGACTGAAGCCTCGTGCAACGTAACGCGCCTTGAAGACAGGCGGAGAACCCGGCGGCCGCTTCACCCTGAAAATCCACATGCCACTGACGATGTTCGCCCCAGGTGGGGGAACCTCGTCGACGTAGGTGCCTGTGGACTTCCAAGAAGCCATCTTTGCGTCCATGGCTGTCTGCCACTGAGAGGAGTAGGGACCCTCTATCACCTCTGCGTAAGAGCGCGGGGTCGGGATGTCTGGTGCATCCGAGTCTCCCTCAGGGGCAATCAGCATGGACACGAGATGAGGTAAAGCAGCGGCAAAGCACTCAAACTCCTCCTGTCTGTCCTCAAGGACGTCCGTGCCAAGAGCACACTCACCCCCGACGGACGGAGGACAGACAGACTCAGACTCAGCAACAAGGCTAGCGGCGTAGTCTAGACGACAGGCGGCAGCAAAGTCAACAAGCTCAGCAACTAGAGCAGACGCAGCAGTGGACTCAAAGGAAGGGTCAGTGACAACAGTAGCGAGAAGACGCGTGACAGTAGGACTGGCAGCACGAGCAAGGTCTGACGGCGGGTCAGCAACGTCAGGAAGAGAGGACGCAGGAGGAGACGGCAGAGGGACACGCTGTGGAGCAGTGGAAGGACGCATAGTCATATAGTGAGTGCCAAGTACAGGAGGAGGACGCTGACGCGGAGCACGACGACCAGCGCGGACAGCGCAGACAGGGGACTCTGGACGAGACTCAGGTGACTCAGGACGAGACTCAGGCGACGCAGGACGAGACTCAGGCTCACGACGCTCCGTAAGACCTCTAGTCGGCCCAGCGTAGGGAGAAGGACCAGGCAGTGGAGAGGCAAGCGGTAACTGTGACTGCGACTGGACAGGTGGTGGACTCAATAGGGGAGGAGAAGGACCAGTGGAGGGCGGGAGGCCAAGAACCTGCTGAAGGAGCGGAACGTAGTACGGCCGCCGCCGCTCAGCACCTCCTGAACCAGCAGAGACAGCACCAGCACCCTCAGCCCCAGGGTCTCCAGCACCAACTCCCGCAGCACCACCAGCAACCCCAGCAGCTCCAGTACCTCCAGCTCCAACCCCCGCAGCAGCTCCAGTACCTCCAGTACGAGCACCTCCAGAACCAGCGGCTCCAGCAGCTCCAGCACCAGCAGTGCCTCCAGCAGCTCCAGCACCAGTAGCGTCTCCAGCAGCTCCAGCTCCAGCAGCACCTCTTGCAGCACCACCAGCAGCTCTTGCGCCAGCAGCACCAGCACCAGCACCAGCTCCAGCTCCAGGGTCCGCGGCACCAGCCGCAGCTCCAGCTCCAGGGTCCGCGGCACCAGCAGCGGCTCCAGCTCCAGGGTCCTCAGCACCAGCAGCAGCTCCAACTCCAAGGTCGGCGGCACCAGCAGCACCACTCCGGAGACTGCAGCGCCGAGCGTACCACTCTCGGAGCCGCTGGGGAGAGGGCGGCTCCCGCCTAGGCGGGGAACCACGAGCACCAGCTCCAGCAGCACCCCTAGCCCTAGAAGCGCCCCTCCTGAGGCTGCAGTACCGAGAGTACCACTCACGCAGCTGCTGGGAAGAGGGAGCGCCTCCAGGCGCAG